ATATCATTGATAAATATTTTGTGTGTTTGAATTACTTTAGCATATAAGTGGCAATCAGGTAATGACAATGATCTTGCAAAATCACATCAAAATGACTTTCATCCATCAAACCCTCCATATGTACCCAAGGGATATAGGTATTTATTATCTTTTTGTTACTAAAAACATGATATAACCTTGATTTAATCTTTGTATGCATATCTTAATTCAAGGGTATGTGGTGGATGCAACCGTGACATTAATTACGGCGATTACTTAGGTTGCATGGGGAAGTATTTTCATCCAGAGTGCTTACGTTGTCGTGCTTGTAGTTACCCAATCACCGAAGGCGAGGTAATTTGCTTTTTTTTTTCTTTTTTCTTTTTAAAAAAAAAGGTGCATTCAAATGCATTTCTTCAAATACTTATTAGTGTTTTTTTTTATTATTCAAGTTCTCTTTATCAGGGAAAGATACATACCATAAGACTTGCTTTAAAGAGTTGACTCATCCCAAATGTGAAGTGTGCTTTCAATATGTAAGGGAAACTTTTAGCTTAAATGTGGTATTAACTAAATTTTAGGCCATGTTTCTTGTTTCCCATTAAGTCCTTGTCGGATAAAGTGGCCAAATGGGTAGGATTATGTCTATATGGATAACATAATGGGTTTGTTTTGTTTCTTTTTTAACTGAGTAAATTGTCTAAATGTAACTAGATGATCATTTTATCCTTAGACTCGTATCGATTTGAAATAAAAAACCTTAATCAAATCCAACAATTTTGCAATGATTTGGGTCTGAATGTATTAAGTAAAATAAAATAAAATAAAACCTTATATATATATATATATATATATATATATATATAATATATATATATATATATACACACACACACACACACACGTCAACATAAGAGTTGAACCCGTGAGGTCCATTAAGTAAAAAGGAAACAACACGTTAGCTATCTTAATTCTTAAAAAATAAAAAATAAAAACGAATTGCATAAACGTTGATATTCTTTTAAAAGAGACAATTACATCAAGTGTAACGTTATCTTTTGCCTTTTAATTAGATTCCCTTAAATGGAGATGGATTAATCGAGTATCGATGCCACCCATTTTGGTCCCAAAAATATTGCCCCGCACATGAGCTTGATAATACAGCTCGATGTTGTAGTTGCGAACGACTTGAGGTAAAGTTCCCATTTCATTTTTACACCATTTTTATAACATTTTCATAATTAAATAATTATGATGTTTGGAAATATTTGAAGCCGGTGAATGTAAGATACATATCTTTGGGAGATGGAAGGAGTTTATGTTTAGAGTGCCTAGAATCTGCAATAATGGATACGGGTGAGTGTCAACCACTTTATCACTCCATTAGAGACTACTATGAAGGAATGAACATGAGAATTGATCAACAAATTCCCATGCTTCTTGTTGAAAGACACGCCCTTAATGATGCTACCGCAAGGGAGAAAAATGTAATTAACTAAATCATTTTTATTTTATTTATTGGTTGTTAAATTCTTGTGATTTACAATCTTATCTTTCAGGGGTTCCATCGTTTGCCTGAGACAAGGGGTATTTGCCTTTCTGAAGAGCAGACTGTTGCAAGTGTATGTTTGCCTTTGAGTAAATTGATAAATTTTATTTTGCAACAAATTAATGATTAATATATTTTATATATTGATTATTCATCATCATGTTTCTTGAATTATTGTTGCAGATTCTAAGAAGGCCGAGCGTTAGTGGTCATCGTTTGGTGGGAATGAGAACTCAACCTCAGAAGCTGACTCGCAGATATGAAGTTACTGCCATTCTTGTTTTGTACGGTCTTCCAAGGTGACATTTGCATCAAAAAAATAAAAAATTAATAAAACACTTGGTACACTTTTGAGAACTTTTAATTCATTTATTCAATTTCATCTTTTATGTAATCTATTTCAAAAATAGATGGTAAATTAAAAAAATGGTCCGGTTTACCAGATTTAGTCTAAAATTGAAACTTATTCAATTTTAGTCCCATAGATTTTTTGATTTTGATCCTTATTTCAAGGTTTCATATGGAGATTATGGTTCTTATATTAAGGTTCCAACTTCCAATGACCAAAATCAATATGAAACTAAAGACCAAAGTTGAAAAGTGTTTATACTTTGGACTAAACATGGTAAAAATCAGAAAGCATATGGATCAATTTTGAAACTTACTATAAAATACGACCTGAATTGAACTTTTTTTTAATTAAATGTATAAAAACTTCCCCCTTTTCTATTTCACGAGTTCAATTATTTAATTTTGGTAACTAAACGTTGCAGATTACTAACTGGAGCCGTTCTTGCTTACCACTTGATGAATGCATGGTTATGTCTTAAAGGTAACAACTAACATAGTTTCTCGAATGAATTTACTCTTTTTAAGATTAAATTTTCTGTACTAGTCAAGTTGGCTTAAAAGTTTTTTTATTTTGATAGGTTACAGGAACCTAAATCCTGAGGTAGAAGCAGGTATCTGTCAAGTGCTTTCATATATGTGGCTCGAATCAGAGATCATGCCCAACTTGACATCATCATCATCGACAACATCATCATCATCATCATCAAAGAAAGGTGGGAAATCAAGAAGTGAGAACAAATTAGGCGAATTTTTCATGTATCAAATAGCTCATGATGCATCACCAATATATGGAGGAGGGTTTAGAGCTGCAAATGCAGCTGTTAATACATATGGCTTACGAAGAACACTGGATCATATTCGCCTCACTGGAAGCTTCCCTCTCTGAGGTTTTGTTTCTAAACGATCTAAATGATCGATAATGTGCAAGAACATGAAAATGAGAGAGTTGGTCTTGATTGCTTTTTAATTAATAAACCTGAAAAGAGATTTGTTTCCGCCATTGTTATCGTGGTTTTCTGTTTTTGAAAAATTTTATGAACTTGTGGGAAACCTCAAACTATTAGCTATGGCGTGGCATAAAAAATGGATTTGTTTCTGTAAAGATAGTTTTTCTTGATTTGTTTCTGCAAAAGGTAATGTTTGATTTCATAAGTAATCTAATAAATATTTTTGACAACCTCTTTCATTATGTTTATGAAAGGGAGGTCATGATCAAAGTTGAGTAACCTTGGGTCTTTAAATTAGTAGATGCGTAACCTTCAGTCTCCAAATTAATTTGTATACACAACCATTTATGATTAGATTGCATCTAACTTAGCATACACCTGACCTTTATTCTCTAAGTTAGCTGACATAGAACTATTTATGACATAATTCCATCCAAGTTAGTAGACATATAACCATTAGTTCCCAAATTAGCAAGCACGTATACAATCAAAATGAAACCTATAAGCGACCATCATAACTCATCCATCATTGACACAAATGCTACCTACCGGCGACACAAACATACATCTAAAATATGTCTAGATCGGTTATTATCTATGATCTCTAATCCAGAAATGAACAATAAATATGGGGATTTTTTCGGCGGGAGTTGTGGTTGATGCAACCAGTTTACTGGTTGCTGGAATCCATAGATAAAGTTACTGGCGGTGAAGACCATTGAGTAAACCTAACAATGATCATACATCTTAGGAATATAAAAAGATAACCGATTGGGCATAATGAAGTCGAGGGTATATTTGTTATTTAGTATGCATCTACAAATTTTCTTGAATTAAACTACATCTCAAATGTTTAACCAAACACCTAGAAGGTTTTAAATTCATTAAAATTCAAAATCCATTGGATTCGATTGCTATGAAAAATTCAAATCCATATAAACAACTTGTGAACCAAACGCCCACTAAGACTTTATATATATTAACACAAAAAAAATGTTAAGTCCATTTGACCCGCCTGTTTTAATTGCCGCAAAAGACACCTCGCTTGGATACATTTGCTTAGTTTTTGTTTCTAATGGAGAAACGGATTTCAAACTAAACATATGGAAAATATGAGGGGGCTACTATGATCTACTGATCTAGGGGTGAGTAAAAGTCCGATGGTACCAAACCAAACCGATATTGTATAGACACATACGTTCCGGTACTCGGTTCCTCAAAATCAAGCAAATCAATCCTCAAGACTTTCAATAATTGGTACTTCGGGTTCAAGAATTTCACAGAATTGAACCGAATGTTTTCAACTCTCATAAATCTCTCATGTGAACTCGAATTAGGCTGATTGTTTTTCCTGCATTTTCTTCTATGTCTTGGCTACATGTTAGGATCAAGAATCAACTAGTTTTGATAAGTATAGCATGAGTTACATATCCCTAAACATGGGTACTTGAAAACTTAGATTTTCCAGGCATAGTCTTTTTTTTCTCACAAGAATATGTGCAAAAAAAATTCTACAAATTTCAACACTCGTAATTTTCTCATATGAAATTAGATTGGGCAAATTCTTTTTCTTATATGTTCTTTGTTGTCTTGGATACATGTTAGACTCAAGAACCACATGTTTTTGTATTTAAGCTCGAGTTCTATAACCTCAAGCATGGTATCTTGTATATAGAAAAACAATACTAAAATGAGATTGGTACTAAAATACATGTACCGGAACCGAACCGATAACATATAGCATCCATCTTCATACTTGGTGCCCACAAATTCAGAATTTTTGTTTCGGTGTCTGTTCAGGTTCAGGTATCGATCTTACCAATACCGTCATCTGTATGCCGTTCGTCTTTTTCCGGAAAATTTATCTTTCAAAAGTCGGTTTCCTTATACAAAATCTGATCAAACTTGATTCTACTAGGTGCCAATCTTACCATAGATTTATTTGTGTGAATTTTTTATCTTCTTTTATGGGTTGTCTAGAAACAGTTTATTTTATCTTTGTCAAAGATTCTCAACTTATCTTTATTTCTCTCCTCTTTCCCACTTTCTCTTGTTTTCTCTACATAAAAATCTATCTACTTTTATATTAGAAAATTATACCTTTCGTTACCCTTTTAGAGATTCCCCTTTCTTTTCTTCTTCAAAACTGTTAGCTTTTTTTTTTATCTAAAATGATGCCATTGTTCTTCTCCCCATCTCTCTCTTTTCCATTTCACCATTCGTCTTTTTCAACTTCTTGAGATCATGGTGACCAAACTATACATACGTCTCACAACCTACTAATCATGTCTTCTTCAGAGAAATCATTAATTTATTGGAGAGGAAATCCTCAGTTTATTGGAGACGAAAGTAAAGTATCACGCCCCCCTTCTATATCTTTGGTAAATATAATCTTCCTATTTATATATTTTATAACATATATATATATTTATTACTCATAACTATCATTAATTAGTGCAATAAATTCATTTAGGACAACCGCATAAGGAGTGATAATCATGAAGAAGAATTAGATGGAGCAACTGCACTTTCTTTAGTACTGCGCGCCCCTTCTAGATCCTTCGTAAATACCTCCTTTTTTTTATTATTTTATAACATATATATTGTTAATCATAACTATTATTAATTAATGAAATAAAGTCATTTAGGACAAGCGCACAAGGAGTGATAAACACAATGAAGAATTAGATCGAGCATTTGCACTTTCTTTAGTATCGCGCGCCCCTTCTAGATCCTTGGTAAATACCATCTTTTATTAGAACATATATATATATATATATATATATATATATATATATATATATAATCAAAACTATTAATAATTAATGCAAAAAATTCATTTAGGACAACCGCATAAGGGATGATAAACACAATGAAGAATTAGATCGAGCATCTGCATTTTCTTTAGTATCACGGGCCCCTTCAAGATCCTTGGTAATTATCATATTCCTTTTTTATAACATGTATATTATTAATCAAAATTATTAATAAATAATGCAAAATTTTGATTCAGAACAACCGCACAAGGAGTGATAAAAACAATGAAGAATTAGATCGAGCATTTGCACTTTCTTTAGTACTGCGTGCCCCTTCTGGATCATTTGTAAATACAATCTTCCTTTTTTATAACATATATATTATTAATGAAAACTATTAATAATTAATGAAAGAAATTCATTTAGGACAACCGTACAAGGAGCAATAAACACAAGGAAAAATTAGATGGTCCAGTTGAACTTTCTTCGGTATTGCATGCCCCTTCTAGATCCTTGGTAAATACAATCTCCTTTTTTATAACTTATTTATTATTAATCGTAACTATTAGTAATTAGGACAACCGTACAAGGAGTGATAAACAAAAAGAAGAATTAGAGCGAGCAACTGCACTTTCTTTAGCTGAAGGTTTAAAGAAACCGATTGGTAAGCCATTACTAATTTGAACATCGACACCCTCATCCATTTCATTTTTAATCTTCATATGGATCACATATAAACATTTTGTGTGTTTGAATTACTTTATGATATCGGTGGAAACCAGACAATAATAATGAAAGTATGGTAGTGCGTGCTCCTGTTAGATCCGTGGTAAATTCCATCTTTCTTTCTTTCTTTCTTTTTTTTCTTTTTTTCATTTTACATGCCATATATATGCATTTTATTATAGCTATTAATACAAGAAATTCATATAGGACAACCGCACAAGAAGTGATAAACAAAAGGAAGAATTAGATCGAGCAATTGCACTTTCTTTGGCCGAAGGTTTAAGGAAACCAAATGGTAAACTTTAACTAAATCAAACATCATCACCTTCTTTTGTAACCCTCATTTTAAATCTTTATCTATATAACAGATAAACATTTTGTGTGTTTGAATTACTTTAGGATATGGGTGGCAACCAAGCAATAATAATGATCTTGCTAAATCACATCAAGATGACTTTTATCCATCAAACCCTCGATATGCACCCAAGGGATATAGGTACTTATTATCTTTTTGTTACTAAAAACATGATATAAATTTGATTTAATCTTTGTATGCATATCTTAATTTCAGGATATGTGGTGGGTGCAATCGTGACATTGGTTATGGCAACTACTTGAGTTGCATGGGGACATATTTTCATCCAGAGTGCTTTTGTTGTAGTGCTTGTCGTTACCCAATCACCGAAAATGAGGTAATTTGTTTTCTTTAATCATGCATTCAAATGTATTTCTTCAAGTTCTTATTTGTTCTTTTTCTCTGTTGATTCAAGTTCTCTTTATCAGGGAAAGCTGCATATCATAAGTCATGCTTCAAAGAGTTGACTCATCCCAAGTGTGAAGTCTGCTTTCAATTTGTAAGGGAAACTTTAGCTTAAATGTGGTACTATTAACTAACTTTTAGGCCATGTTTTGTGTTTCACATGTTAAAGATCATCACTAGCCTAATAAAATAAATATTATTTAGAAGACTTTAGCTTGTTCTAGAATGCTCTAGAAGATTCTAGAACATTATGGAAGACTATGGAAGACTCCGGAATATACCGGAAGAGTCTAGAATACTCTAGAACGACATGGAAGACCCTGGAAGGTTATGGATCATTCTAGAATACACTGGAGCATCCTAGACCTCTCCAGAACATGGTAGAACATTCTAGAAACATAAGGAAGCTTATAGAGTATGTTAGATAGTTCTAGAGTTATCTAGTAAGTAATAAGTGTATACTAGTATCTAGAACCTTCATAAGAAGCCTATAAATAGGTATGGAGCTCATTTGCTCCAAACCATCCAAGAAAGCCTCAAAGAAAGCAAAGTGTGTAGTAGTCTCACAAAGTGTAAGTTCTTCTTAAGTGTCTTAATAAAAGTATTGTTGTTTCCCACACAAAGAGTCGTGTTCAACAATCTGGTATCAGAGCAATGTTTCTTGATAGTGAGAACGAGTGATTCTCTTTGTATCGTGAGTAGTCTGTGACTCTGCAAGTTTGGTGTTGAAACTAGCTTGTTTGGTATTACCGAGGTACTGCCAACACGATGAGTGATCTCCAAGTTGTAGGAGGAATCAAGAAACTCAACAACAACAACTACAAAACGTGGGAAACATGCATGAAGTCCTACTTACAAGGACAAGATCTATGGGAGGACGTTGGCAGAAGCGAAACTACGCCGCCAGAAGAAGATGTTAATGGCGCTCTACGCAAATGGCAAATCAAAGTAGGCAAAGCAATGTTTGCCTTGAAGACCACAATCGAAGAAGAGATGTTGGAGCATATTCGGGACGAGAACACACCAAAAGAAGCTTGGGACACATTTGTGACGCTTTTCTCAAAGAAGAATGATACGAGACTACAACTTTTGGAGAATGAGCTATTATCAATCTCACAACGTGACATGACGATTGCTCAATATTTCCACAAGGTCAAGTCGATATGTCGAGAGATTACTGAACTAGATCCGCAATCTGTCATTGCAAAAGCTCGAATGAAGAGGATCATCATCTATGGACTGAGGCCGGAATATAGAAGCTTCGTTACTGCTGTACAAGGATGGCCCGTTCAACCATCACTTGTAGAGTTTGAGAATTTGTTGGCCAGCCAAGAAGCTATGGCTAAGCAAATGGGAGGCATCACGCTAAAGAGTGAAGAGGAAGCACTCTACACAAGCAAAAGTCAGAGGAATTTCAAGCCACCTTCTAAAGAAGGATACAAAAATGCTGAAAAAGGGAAGAGTCAGCAAGGAACCTCACAACCATGGAGATCTCAAAAGACCGACAATAAGAGTTCTCGGGGGAGGAGGTTCGAAGGCAACTGCAACAATTGTGGAAAGTGGGGCCACATGTCCAAGGATTGTTGGTCAAAGAAAAAGTCATGTGGAAAGCAATGTCGTAACTTCCAAAAAGGAAATAAAGGATGAATGGGATGCTGAGGCATTATGTGTCATAGAAGAAAACGAGTTGGCACTCATGGCAATGATGGGAGAGCGTATCAACTATGAGAATGACTGGATCATTGATTCAGGATGCTCCAATCACATGACTGACGATCAGAACAAACTACAAGATGTGAAGGAGTACAAAGGGAGTCGCATGGTACTTATAGCCAACAATGCACGACTTCCAATTGCTCAGATTGGAAAAACGACGATCATGCCTGGTAATAAATCTGACATGGTGTCACTACATAATGTCTATCACGTGCCAGGTATGAAGAAGAACTTGTTGTTGGTATCACAACTAACATCATCAGGCAACTACGTCTTGTTTGGACCACAAGATGTGAAGGTATATCGAGATCTTAAAATCTCAGAATAGCCAACACTAGAAGGACGAAGAGTGGAGTCCGTCTATGTGCTCTCCGCGGAGTCTGCCTATGTAGACAAGACTCGAAAGAACGAGACAGCTGATCTATGGCATGCACGATTGGGACATGTTGGCTATCACAAGTTGAAGGTAATAATGGAGAAATCCATGCTTAAAGGCTTACCTCAACTTGAAGTCAAAACAGATATTGTTTGTGCTGGATGCCAGTATGGTAAAGCTCATCAATTACCATACAAGGAGTCAAATTTTAGAGCAAAGAAGCCACTAGAGTTAATTCACTCGGATGTGTTCGGTCCAGTCAAGCAGACATCAGTTAGCGGGATGCGGTACATGGTGACGTTCATTGATGATTATTCGAGATATGTGTGGGTTTTCTTCATGAAAGAAAAATCTGAAACATTCTCAAAGTTTCTAGAATTCATGACAACGGTCGACGGAGAAGTGAAAAAGAAGATTCGGTGTCTACGCTCAGACAATGGAGGAGAATACACCTCAGAAGAATTCAATCACTGTCTGCAAGAATATGGTATACATCATCAATTCACATGTGCCAACACACCTCAACAAAATGGTGTAGCCGAGAGAAAGAATCGACATCTTGCAGAAATTTGTCGAAGCATGCTACACGCGAAGAATGTCCCAGGAAGATTTTGGGCTGAAGCAATGCGAACTGCTGCTCATGTGATCAATAAACTTCCCCAACCAAGGTTAGGTTTCATCTCACCATTTGAGACACTATGGAACATGAAACCTACTGTTAGCTACTTCCGAGTATTTAGTTGCGTCTGCTACGTATTTGTACCTAGTCATTTACGTAGAAAGTTTGACAAGAAAGCAGTCAGGTGTATATTTGTTGGATATGACAATCAAAGAAAAGGATGGAGGTGTTGTGATCCAACAAGTGGAAGATGCTACACTTCAAGAGATGTAGTGTTCGATGAAGCATCTTCATGGTGGTCATCAGAGAAGAAAGTATTACCAGACTCGGAAAATATTGAAGAAATTCAAAAACAAAAGATGGGGGAGCAAACTGCACACATTTGGTCAAGTGTTGACACACCTGAAGATCCAAGTGACACTGATGTCACTGAGCAAGAAGTAACTCAAACAAGTAACGCTGATGAAAGGGAGACGTCACCTCCACAGCTTCGAAGGCTGGAAAGAATCCGAAAGCCTAATCCCAAATATGCTAATGCGGCCATTTTAGAAGACGGTGTTAAAGAGACGGAGATATATGAAGAAGCAATTAAGAATAAAGCTTGGCAGAAGGCAATGGAAGAAGAAGTTACAACCTTAAAACAGAATCAAACGTGGGAACTGGTACCAAGACCAAGAGATATAAAACCCATTTCCTGCAAGTGCGTTTATAAATTAAAGCGACGCCCAGATGGATCAATTGAAAGATACAAGGCTCGTTTGGTGGCTCGAGGGTTCTCACAACAATATGGACTGGACTATGATGAAACATTTAGTCCAGTGGCGAAGATAACTACTGTATGGGTGCTGCTAGCTCTTGCAACTAGTAAAGACTGGAAATTATGGCAGATGGATGTGAAGAATGCTGTCTTGCATGGAGAATTAGACCAGGAGATCTACATGAACCAACCAAAGGGATTTGAGGATGAAGTTAATCCCAATCATGTGTACAAGCTGAGAAAATCTCTTTACGGATTGAAGCAGGCACCAAGAGCCTGGTATGGTAAGATTGCTGAATTTCTTACCCGAAGTGGTTATTCAGTTGCACATGCAGACTCAAGCCTGTTCGTCAAAGAAAAAGAAGGGAAGTTGGCAATTGTGTTGGTTTATGTGGATGACTTGATCATCACCGGGGATGACGAAAGAGAAATCCATCAAACAAGAGAAAATATATCGGTGCGATTCCAAATGAAAGAGCTGGGGGAGCTTAAACACTTCTTGGGGCTAGAAGTTGATCATACAAAGGAAGGGTTGTTCCTCTGCCAACAAAAGTATACAAGAGATATACTTCAAAAGTTTGGCATGTTGGAGTGTAAGCCAGTATCAACACCAATAGAGCAAAATGCCAAGATATGTGCTCATGAAGGAAAAGAGTTAGACGATGGAACGATGTATCGACAACTAGTAGGTAGTCTTATCTACCTAACTTTATCTCGGCCTGACATTGCTTATGCAGTTGGAATTATGAGTCGATACATGCAAAGTCCGAAGAAACCTCATTTGGATGCTGCCCGACGGATCTTGAGATATGTCAAAGGTACAATTTACTATGGTCTCTTGTATAAAAGAGGAGAAGACTGCAAGTTGGTTGGATATTGTGATGTTGACTATGCAGGAGACCATGATACCCGAAGATCAACCATTGGGTATATATTCAAACTCGGGTCGGGGCTAATATCATGGTGTAGTAAAAGACAACCAACTGTATCATTGTCAACCACAGAAGCGGAGTACAAAGCAGCGGCCGTAGAAGCTCAAGAAAGTACATGGTTGGTACTCATAATGGAGGACTTACATCAAAAAGTTGACTATGAGGTACCACTTCACTGCGATAACCAATCTGCAATTCGGATGGCAGAAAATCCAGTATTTCATGCTAGAACAAAGCATGTGGAAGTGCATTATCACTTTATCAGAGAAAAAGTCTTGATGGAGGAAATTGAGATGCGACAGATCAAGACCGATGACCAAATAGCAGACTTGTTCACCAAAGGGCTGAGTACTGGAAAATGTGAAGGTTTTCGCTGTCAGCTTAACATGGTACGAAGAATGGGGGCTAGTGCTGAGGGGGAGTGTTAAAGATCATCACTAGCCCAATAGAATAAATATTATCTAGAAGACTTTAGCTTGTTCTAGAATGCTCTAGAAGATTCTAGAACATTATGGAAGACTATGGAAGACTCCAGAATATACCGGAAGAGTCTAGAATACTCTAGAACGACATGGAAGACCCTGGAAGGTTATGGATCATTCTAGAATACACTGGAGCATCCTAGACCTCTCCAGAACATGGTAGAACATTCTAGAAACATAAGGAAGCTTATAGAGTATGTTAGATAGTTCTAGAGTTATCTAGTAAGTAATAAGTGTATACTAGTATCTAGAACCTTCATAAGAAGCCTATAAATAGGTATGGAGCTCATTTGCTCCAAACCATCCAAGAAAACCTCAAAGAAAGCAAAGTGTGTAGTAGTCTCACAAAGTGTAAGTTCTTATTAAGTGTCTTAATAAAAGTATTGTTGTTTCCCACACAAAGAGTCGTGTTCAACATCACATTAAGTCATATCTGGATAAAGTGACTGAAGGAGTAAAATTAGTTTGTATGGATACCGAAATGTATACAAAAAAAAGTTTGTTTCTTTTTTAACTCAGTAAACTGTCTAAATGCAAGTAAACCATCATTTTACCCTTACACTCAGATCGACTCGAAATTAAGAGCCTTAATCAAATCCAAATTTTTTGTAACGATTTGGGGGATTTGAATGTATTAAGTAAAAAAAAACAACCTTATATATATGTCCATTATATATATGTCCACATAAGAGCTGAAACCATGAGGTCCACTATGTAAAAAACAAACAAGACGTTGGCTAACTTGATTCTTAAAACTAAAAAATAAACATTGCATAAAGGTTGATATTCTTTATAAAAAGACAATCACATCAAATGTGATATTATCTTTGCTTTTTAGATTCCCACAAATGGAGCTGGATTAATCGACTATCGATGCCACCCATTTTCGTCCCAAAAATATTGTCCCGCACATGATTATGATAATACAGCCCGATGTTGTAGTTGTGAACGACTTGAGGTAAAGTTACCATTTGTATACCATTTTTATAATATTTTCATAATTATGATGTTAATTTGGAAATATTGAAGTGTGTGAATGTAAGATACATCTCATTGGGAGATGGAAGGAGTTTATGTTTAGAGTGCATAGAATCTGCAATAATGGATACAGGAGACTGTCAACCACTTTATCATTCCATTAGAGACTATTATGAAGGAATGAACATGAGAATTGATCAACAAATTCCCATGCTTCTTGTTGAAAGAGACGCCCTTCAATATGCTACAGTAGGGGAGAAAAACGTAATTGACTAATCATTTTTATTTTATTTATCTATTTATTGGTAGTTGAATTCTTGTGATTTACAATCTTATCTTTCAGGGGTTCCATTATTCGCCAGATACAAGGGGGTCTATGCCTTTCTGAAGAGCAGACTGTTACAAGTGTATGTATGCCTTTTGAGTAAATTGTTAAATTTTATTTTGTTTATATATTGATTATTCATCATCATGTTTCTTGAATTCTTGTTGCAGATTTTAAAAAAGCCAAGAATTGGTGGTCAGCAGTTAGTGGGAATGAGAACTAAACCTCATAAGCTGACTCGTAGATGTGAAGTTACTGCCATTCTTGTTTTGTATGGTCTTCCAAGGTGACATTTTTATCATTTTCTTTTAATAAAACACTCCAGTACACTTTTAATCAATTCATTCCTTTTCATCTTTCGGTTAATCTATCTTGGAAATATATGGTAAATTAGAAAAATGGTCATGTGCTATTTTGTTTTTACCAGATTTAGTCTAAAATTGAAACTAAGGACTAAACTTGAAAAATGTTTTAATTTGGACTAAACATGGTAAAAATCAGAAAGCACATGGACCATTTTTGTAATTTACGCTAAAAAATGACCTGGATTGACGGTTTTTTCTATTTCTTGAGATCAAATTATTCAATTTTGGTAACAAAACGTTGCAGATTACTAACTGGAGCCATTCTTGCTCACCAGTTGATGCATGCCTGGTTACGTCTTAAAGGTAACAACTAACATAGTTTCTCGAATCTTAAATTTAATCTTTTTAAGATTTAAGTTTTTTTGGTACTAGTAAAGTTGTGTTAAAAGATTTTGAAATTTGACAGGTTACAGGAACCTAAATCCTGAGGTAGAAGAAGGTATCTGTCAAGTGCTTTCATATATGTGGCTCGAATCAGAGATCATGCCCAACATGCCATCATCATCATCAACATCAAAGAAAGGTGGGAAATCAAGAAATGAGAACAAATTAGGTGAATTTTTCATGCATCAAATAGCTCATGATGCATCACCAGCATATGGAGGAGGGTTTAGAGCTGCAAATGCAGCTGTTAATACATATGGCTTACGAAGAACACTGGATCATATTCGCCTCACTGGAAGCTTCCCTCTCTGAGGTTTTGCACAAATAGCTCTTGAGGATCCAAATGATCGAAAATGTGCAAGAAAATGAGAGAGTTGGTCTTGCTTGCTTTTTAATTAATAAACCTCAAAATGGATTTGTTTCTGTCATTGGTATCGGTATCGTGGTTTCTGTTTTTGAAAAATTTTATGAACTTGTGGGTAACCTCAAACTATTAGCTATTGGTGTGGCATAAAAAAATGGATTTGTTTTGGAAAGATAGTTTTTCTTGATTACCTTTTGAAGTTCTTATAATGTATTTTTATCAATTTATGCAAGGTTAACAAAAAAATCAACATAACAAGCTTGAAATTGATATAAATGAGCCCCATGAGTCCATGACCACACTTTGAATAAGAATTGTGCATTCTGCTTTTGGACCTGTGGTACATTGAAAAACTAAGCCATAGCTTATTTTCAAATAATGTATGAAAAAGATGATTCCTTAAATAGTATACAATCTGTTTTAAGAAGCAAAGGTGATGTTTGATTTCATACGTAGTCTAATAAATATTTTTGACAACCTCTTTCATTATGTTTATGAAAGGGAGGTCATGATCAAAGTTGAGTCAAAAAACTTTATATTGATTTGATTATTTCAAGTTTGACTCATATTAACTTTTTGAATATTAAAGATAAGTATTATTTTTATGGATATTAACATAAAGAAGATATTAATGTACGTGAAATAAATTTAGTTTTGGCCAATTACCTCGATATGTTATTGATGATAGTTAAAAAAAAATATATTGTTTTTTTAAAAGGCCAAGTATTTAATAAGGTTGTAACAAAGGCCTCTCGCCCAAGATGGGCTAGAGTATCATATATGTGATTACACTTCTATTTCTATAGGAGATGAAAAATGATGATTATATATATATATATATATATATATATATAGATATATATATATATATATATATATATATATATATGAGTATGGCCACCATAAATTCATAAAGAGTTATGATTTTAGTCAAATTCACTAAAAATTCAAAAAATGGTTTAGATAGTAATGTATAAAACATTGAAAAGTGAAAAAACAAAGAAAAAAAAATCAAAAGTTTAATAAAACCTACTAGGTAAAGGTCTCGAAAATCCAAACGAAAACACTCTTCTCCACCATCACAATCATCATTGATCCACACTGGTTGTCCCGACTTGGGGGTTGTTTGGTAGTATCTGAATTTTTAAAATGTCTCAATTTCTAAGAGGGTCTGAATTTTTAAGATCTGAACTTTTAACATATTGTTTGGTTGAAATTTCTAAATTAATATGATGAATGATAAAAATGATTATTTTACTCTTCTGGTTAAAAATAATAATAAATACCCAATAAAACTATCAAAATTTTGAGAAATCCACATTTACATATAAACATTTTACCAACATTTAAACTACTCTATATGTTCATAACCTTAATATACAGGTTGGGCATAACTCTTGGCTTCATCAACATAGCGTTTTTGAGAAAATGTTGACCATTTTTCCCAAGCTAATGACTATGATGTAGGGATGTTATTTGGGTCGGAACCGGACCGAACCGACCCGAACCTGAATAACCCGAAAATCGAATAATGTTAATTGCATGAACCGAAAACCGAATCGATTAACCAATACGGGTTCGGTTCGATTCGGGTATTAATCGGTTCGGTTCGGTTATTACCTGAATAACCCGAATAACATGTACAAGATGATTAAAGACCTAATATAACCGAAAAAATCTGAATAAACCGTATTAGGATTCTATAACCCGAATAATAGAATAGCAATCTACTTTTATACATCAACATAAAACAGTCAAAGACTAACATAACACAATAACACATTGAAAGAATAACATTTACATAGTAGATTAACATAATGAAAATTAATTTCTTACTTGAGTTTCTTGAGTTGGAACCTAATTTTCCATGACTAGACAAAATAAGAATTCGTGAATCCTTAAAGACAATAGGAATGGTTGATTTTTGAAAGTTTGAAACAAGAGGAAGGATCGACAGAAGTGATTTTGAGTTTGGAAATAGATAAGATGATTGGTCGATTTTGAAACGAAGAAAACGAGCATAGGGTTTTTTTTCTGTTATGAATGATGAGGACAAAAGTATGAATCATGATTTTGATTTCTATCGATTAGAGAAAGGAGAGGAGGAATGATTATCCGGGTCGGGTATTTAGAACCGAATAAGCTCTTATTTGGGTAACTCGGACCGGATAACACGAGAACCGAATAAGCATAATATAGATACCCGAAACCCGAATCGAATTGCTTATTCGAGCCTAATTCGGTTCGGTTCAGTTCGGGTTTTCGGGCCAAATTCTCATCCCTACTCTGATGTGAACCTCCCAAAAGAGACTGAATCTCCAAGAACATGTACATGGTTCCCCCCGTAAACAAGTAATTTTGCCAGATTTATCATTTTCGATCAAAGAAACACTGCAATTGAGTGCAAGAAAACTGCTAAGAGTATGCTTTTAGTGAAGTTCAACTCATTGGAGCATTTCTACAAACACTTTGTAGTCAATAACTGACTCCCAACATTCTACAATAAGAAATTAGTTGAGTACCAAGAAAAGTTACAAAAACATATTTTCAGTAAAATTCAACTCACTGGAACACTTTGACAAACACTTGGTACAAATTGGTAGTTGATAACTAAAAATCATAATGAAGTATAATCAATTTATGAATTTGTCGAGACTTACATGGTTGTTGGGTTCAGGTAGAGAATGCATGAGACATGTCGACTCTCCCATGACTATCAAAAAGACGAATAACAGAGAAGAAAACAAACCAGAAGTAATAAAGTAGATCAAGGCCAGGGTTTTGTTACAAAATCTTTACTTAAACCGACCAGATACTTAAAATTTTGAAATTTAAATGAAAAGAGGTGCACGTTATAGAAAAAGTTGAATGGGTTTTTTTTGGTTTCAGCTGGTAGTTGGGTCCTACCAGCGCTGTCAGAGCTTGGCATCAGAGGTCGTAACTTGGTGAGGCGACGATGGGGGTGGCGGTGCTGCGCGAGGTCGACGATGGGAGGCGCTGAAGTTGGTCGGAGGTGAGAGGAGACCAGAAGGATGATCCAGTGAAAGGTGGGCGTGTTTTTGAAAGAAGCATGCGTATGAGGGCAAAAGAGGGAATGTGCGTCTTTTTCTTTTTATTCACATGCTCATTCAAGTCTCAAAGTTTAAGAAGCTTTTGTAAAAGATTAAGAGACTTTTATTCATAGGTAATCAAACACATTAAATCTGAAAAGTAAGAGGTTGTCTTTTAATTTTACAATTAAGAGGCTACCAAACAGCCCCAATGCTCTTTTTCTACTACTCTCATCCTCTCCCTTTCATATATACAAGAAACCCTTTTCTTGAACACCATCTCAAATCAAGACCCTGACCATATTGACCAACACTACAGATTCCACCACCACTATACCTATCTCTATAAACTCATGACTACCCATCTTCCATACGACACTAATGGACTCTAACATCAAAAACTTCGTTCTCATCATTCTTGTGACAGAAAGGGACGATATACATCAGGTTCCAAATTGTTGAAGCTCCATTGTAGAGCTTATGATGTCTTATACCACATCCTACCACCCAAGGAACTGAAATCCTCTTCCAAAATCTAACTTTGGTTGAGCCTTAAGGGTTGTTTACCAAACAACCTCTTAATGTTATTGTCTTAAAATGGATATATCATATATGTCACCATCTCAAACAACAATTTAATTCACACCATCTTAGAAACGAACACTAACAGAAAAACATAATAGAATACGGTTGTGTTTCAAAATAGAATACAAAAAACTAACTACCATATACATTTTTAACAGTACTCTATTCCACATTATAGTTATACTCTACTCCACAGCAGGGACGGTTTTAAGGGGTTCCCGGTGTGGCACCGGCAACCCTTAACTTTTCTGGCCGCAGTGGAAATTTTTTTGGTTTTTCGATTTTTTTAACTTATTTTACATGTATCGGCAACACCTACTAATATTGCAATGCAACAACAATAAACAAACTAATGAAACCCATGCAAGTATATTGTTAAAGGCATCCATTACATTAACAGGGTAAAAAGAGAAAAAGCAATAAAAAACCAACAAAAGCACATTGTTATTATTTGCTTAACATGCAGAAAACTCCATGTGACATTTGCTAGATAGTTCTCCAAAACATCGAGCTTTATAAACCTTAATGCGTCCATCTCCTATGTAAAAAAAGTTAAAAATGATTTGTCAAAGTAAAATGCTATATTAGGAAATATAAATAAATCAACAAAAGTACATTGTTATAAATACCATGAGTTAGGAGTCTAGCAATAAGGCTATCACATAGTTGAGTACATTCATCCCTATGTGAAAATTGTCATTAAAGGGAAAAATAATCATTGTCATTAATGTATCAAAAATAACAATAAACAGAACCATAAAAAAAGAAGCTTAAAAAGACTTGTTAGGTTAATGGGGATAGATCTTCTGGCACATAAATCGTATCAACCCCACAAATCTAAGATCTTTCTCATCCTCAATAACATTTTGATAATCCATGGTGCATCTTTTAAAGGGAAAGTGCAAGACATCTTTATGAATGTATTCCTGCAAAACTGACCCTTAACTTGACATAAGGAGTAGAATGAATAGTATTCTAGTAAGGATTAAAAGGAGACAATATATAGAACTTAACAGTGTAGAAGCACATAAAACTCATGTGGGCATGAAATATGTCATCAAGATTTCTTAGTTAATGAAGACAAAGTATCGTGGAGAATTAGAAAAAACAAAATTAAATTAGAACCACTAGACAGATTCATTTACATGAGATTATTTCATTTCAACCTAACTATGGTGATATGTGATCTCAAGAACTTGAATATCAATTTCATAATTACATACTAAAAGTAGAAAAGTTGTAATTGTTTAAATATTCACATAACCATTCAAGTTCAACCGTTTTGTTGCTATTATACTTTGAGGATTGAACACACCTCCATGTTATCAACTATAACTCATTGTAAATCCTAAAATTACTATACCACATGTATATGCCCTAATAATAATAGAAAATACATATTATGTATATATTTGACATTTTTTCTTTATGGGTGGAGGCAGATTAATGAAATATTCAAATAAATTAACCATAAAATAGTTGTGGTTGATAATTATGGTGATAAGTAATCTTAGAAGACCAACCC